TCCCCCAAGACGCTCTTCAACATCTGCACAACAGACACCAAACATTATCAATTGCATGGTACACATCGACAACTGCGCACCCGGCTCACCACCCACTTACGCGCCAGACGAAGAAGAGCTCCCGCCACCACGCTCACAAGGCCTTCAAGTCAATCCAACATATGCTGCGGTCGCCAACGCCGAACCCACCGGGCGAAACACCTGGTTCTTGGACAGCTGCTGCGGGCAACACATGTGCTCTTCGGGACGATTCGTGCAACAGGAGAAACTCCTCAACCGCGACGTCGTCATCACCGGCGCCAACAACGAAAATCTGAAGACAAACAGACAAGGCGTGGTTCAGTTACAATCCATGGAGACAAACGTCATACTTCAGCTCAACAAAGTCCTCATTGTCGACAACCTGGGATACAACCTACTAAGCGTAAGCCAACTAATGGCCAAGGGGATTCACCTGGAGTGCGACTCCTACTCCAACGAGTTTCGGCTATACCACGGGAAGGGTGGCCTCTTCATCGGTCGTGCCCTCCTGAAATCCGGCGTCTTCGTGTTGGACTTCGTCCCCGACCGCGGTACTGCCGACAGCGACGGCATCGTATCATTCGCCGCCTGGACACACCCGCCGGATCTTGATCCAGAATTCGACAGTGACGGCTTCTGGCACTCCAACACTATACCTGCAGCAGAAAGAACACGAGCATTAGCCGTCATCAGACAAGAAAGACAAGTACCCGCGAGTATCCCAACCAAACCATCACCTGCAGTAGCAGCAGCAGGACCCAGCCGAGTCCCACCACCGGCGATCCGAGGACCGCCAACCGAAGCAGACCAACTTATGCCCATCACACGAGAAGTTTGTCGAAGTCCCGCCACAGTTGTCGCGTTCTTCTCCAACGCCGACATATAGCTCGCCGGGTCATCGCGCTTCCGACGACATCTGGCACCAACGCCTCGGGCATCCTGCAAACAACACGATACTACAAACAATCCAAGCAGAGGTGTTAGAACGCAACGCCCTCCTAACGACGAGCGGCCAAGAACTTCGAAGACCACGAGCACGGTGCTTCACGTGCCCCGAAGCAGATCTTCCCCATCAGCCTTTTCCATCTCATCACAACCCAAGCGCACCTACCTACGCTCCGATGGAAAAAGTCTACAGCGATATTTTAAACATGCCTCGAGAAGACACCGAAGCCGACTTCAACTACGTCATCACGTTCATCGACGCAGCAACCAGATACGTCTGGCACTTCAATCTCAAGACGCGCGATCAAGCTTTCGACGCCTTCACAACATGGCTTCCCATCGCCGAACGAGAATCAGGAACCAAGCTCAAGAGCTTCCAGTCAGACGGTGCACTGGAATACCAGTCACAACGCTCCAGGACCTATCTGGCAGAAAGAGGAATCAGACGCCTGGTGTCTCTGCCCTACGCTCACCAGCAGCAGGGGGTCGCAGAACGCATGAACCGGACCTTGCAGACGACGATGCGAAAACTGCTTCTGGGAATGAGGCTGCCCACCACACTGTGGCCAGACGCGATAACACATGCAGTTCACCTGCACAACCTGCTGTCCTCGTCATCGCTTCCCAACAACGCATCACCGCACCTGTTGTGGACAAGAAAAAGGGGCAGCACAAAATTACTCCGAGTTTTCGGCTGCATGGTACAGTACAGACCCCACACAGCCCGAGCAGGACGCTTCACACAACGAGCTCGGTGGGGACTACACCTCGGCATCGCCAAACATTTTCACGCGTGGAAAATTCTCGACATACAAGACAAAAATACCGTGGCATCACGTGATGTTATCTTCTACGAGCGACTGACGCTGCACCATTACCTGGACAACATTGCCAACACACAAGACCCCACCGACGGCTTCTCCGGACTTCGTTCCTTTGCCGACCGTGCTGCCGAAGCTGACGCGGCAGAAGAAGACGTACCTGAAGCCTAGGAAGCTGCCGGACCACTCCCATTCTGTTCCGTACCTGTTCCACTCGACGAAGACAATCCTCTCGATAGCAACAACCTCGACACCTTTTACCACTTCGCTGACCAAGGTTACATTACACCCCACCCAGTCGACACAAATGTTTCAGAACGCATCGGTCCCAACTTCTTACCTGACCCAGAAGACGGTGACGAAGCAGCTTATTTCGGGAATGAAAATTCCCCTCGACACACACTCACAGGACTGCAGATTCTAGGCCTCTGGGTCTCCGTCCAGCATCCGCTGCCGCCTTCTCCGCGAGAGCCTTCGACCCTGTCGCAGGCTCTGGGGGGGGAATATAAGGCGAAATGGAAGGAAGCGATGGAAAAGGAGTTAAAGGCTCTGCAAGACCGGAAAACATGGAAACTGGTACCTGCAACAAGCATTAACGGGAAAAACGTCCTCTCGGGGAAATGGGTGTACCGCATTAAGACCAACTCAGACGGCTCCATCAAACGATTCAAAGCTCGATGGGTCGTACGAGGCTTCGATCAACGATACGGGACCGACTACACAGAAACCTTCGCTCCAGTCTCCCGTCACACCTCATTACGCATCCTACTCGCCGTCGCGGCCACAAAGACATTACCACTACGCCAAATCGACGTCGCGAATGCGTTCCTATACGCACCTGTGGACGCCGAGATTTTCGTCGAACAACCCCACGGATTCATCGACGACCCCACGAAAGTATGCCAACTGACAAAATCCCTATACGGGATCAAGCAAGCCCTGCGGCTCTGGCAGCAGCATCTCCACGGCCGTCTCGCAAAAATCGGATTCCTACAGCTGCCGCATGACCAAGGAATGTACCGACTGCAGAAGGGAAGAGAGTATATCCTACTCATCGTCTACGTCGACGACCTGCTCTACATCGGCTCCACTACCGACATCGCCACCTGGTTCGAACGGGAGCTGAAAGAAGACTTAACACTCACGGTGTCCGACGAAGTGACCCAGTACCTAGGACTGAATGTCGACGAAAACGACACGGCGTTCTACCTACACGCTGGAAAGTACTCAGGCACCGTCGCGAAGAAATTCGGTTTAACACCGACTACTGTCCCAACCCCCTACCACTACGGGAACAACAACAGCACCTCCGCAAAATTCCCCGCGAAGCAAATCCAGGAGTATCAACAGAAGCTCGGCTGCCTACTATTCGCAGCAGTAACCTGCCGACCCGACCTGTCCTATAGTGCGAGTCAACTGGCGACGCATCTGAAGCAACCGGAACAGGAAGATCTTGAGGAGCTCAACCGGGCACTACTCTACTTCGTCTCCACGCCGACGATCGGGCTTACCTACAGCAAAGTGACAAGACCGTCCGTACGACTACTCGGATACGTCGACGCCGACCACGCGGGAGATAGGGAAAATCGACGATCTAGGACGGGCTACATCTACCGACTAGAACCCATCGGAACTATCTCCTGGCAGTCGAGCAAGCAGGAGTTAATCGCACTATCCTCGGCTGAAGCAGAGTATATCGCCCTTTATACTGCGACCAAGGAAGGACTCTACCTGCGGGAGTTACTCGAGGAAGCGAAGATCGCGACCCTGCCCGCCTTCTCACTCCTCTGCGACAACCAATCTGCGATCAAAATCGCGAACAAGGACGGCTTCGCCAACCGAACCAAGCACATCGCCCTGCGGTACTTCTTCGTCAAGGATGAAATCGCGAAGGGGAGACTTCAACTCAGTTACTGCCCGACGACAGAAATGGCCGCAGATTATCTGACGAAGAAATTGGCGAAAGCAAAATTCGACTACTGCATGCTCCTGACCGGGCAAACAAACGTCACCGGATCTGAACACGCCAGCACTCCAGAAACGAAGGGGAGTGTTGGAAATATCTCAAAGGACTTAAGCGTTTCTGAAGTATAACACTGTACTCGAGGAAGATTACAGGGGAGCACGCGAGTCAACGGAGGTTGCACGAGGGGGCGGACAAAGAATGCGAAAAGACTCGAAAGGTCGCAACTGGAGGTTACGACTGACCGTTACAACATCACGGATGGTAACCGAAGCGGCAATCGAGTCGCTGTGCGACTCGATAAACCGTTCCTGTAACTGTATTCTACAACTGCTTTCTTATCTTCTATATATTGCTGTATGCTTGTTTCTTTAATCAATCACTTGTTCTCACATACTAGTACAAGGGTTCAACCGTCTCAACTTCCGCTGCACTACTCAAAGTCTCAAGTCTCCACAGCTGGGACTTAGTCTCTGAAAAGATCCTAAGGGCTTTTTCTCAGCCCAATACTCGTCAAGCCGGGATAACCATTACGCTCGTCACAGGGCTGAAGATCTACAGCCATTTTTGGGATTAATTTAGATAAAAGGCTTGACCGCGATATTGGAAGTGCCTTCTTTAGAAGGTGGGAGGGTGTAACGAATTGACCTTTCCTTACCAAGGCTCGCGACAGCGAGTACACGCAAAACCTTCGTGCTCGCAGGCTCGGCCCTCAATTCTCGTGCCAAACCAGCCCCCGCCGACCTACTCGGCCCCCAACCTCATCCCGTGTCACCCCGAACCCATTTTCACCCCCCGTCGCCCTCGGGACTCTCGAGCCCTTGACTGGTCTAAACCTCAACATTCAACCCCGTTGAATCTCCCTATATATTTCCTAGGCCTCATTTCTATCATCACATAGTAATCAAGTTCCCCTTATTGAATGCTGTGCTATTGTCTGAGTTATAATTCATAACAATAGCTGTATAAATCATGCTGCATGTGTGTAACGGTTATGACTGAGGGCTGTCCCAAGTGCCAACTTTCTTGTCATCGGTTTCCGGTGCAAATCGGTCGGGCACATTGGGGTCCGTTTTTCAAAAATGGGACTCGAGACAGCCCTCAAACCGCGCCATTGCCCAGTTCAACTTTCCCCCTGTCGTTCCGCCGCACATCTCCCCGCGCGGAACCCCGCAAGTCCCGCCTTTGCTGGCGGCCCGCCGCGCGAGGGTAAAGCGCCGCAGCCAGCCCTTTGCTGACTGCAAGTCTAGTCCAGTCTACCTCTTATGAGTCACCATTGCTATCCTCGCCTTAGTCATGCAGATGGGTCAAGGCCGGTCAGCGTCGCGTTGCACTACGCAGCGTTGGCCGATTGCGTGGGCAGTGTGCGGACGAGCTGAGCAGCAATTTATGAAACACGGCGTGCGGCTAGTCGAGTCAGCTCGGGGCAGAACGGTTGGGTACTAACCACAGGCTGAGGATAAGGTGCGTCATCGCAACTCGCCGCGAAACGAGGGATAGCGCACGACCTCTGTTTCCGGAAAGCCACTTTCGCTTGCCCGGCAAGATAACTGAATTCACGGGAGGCGTTTATTTTAGTCGTAGCCCGAGGGCTTGAGGAGGCCTCCCCGCTCGCTGCGATAGAGGCAGTGCGAGCGATGTGTAGCACGAGTCATAAGAGCCAGAGGCAGTTCAGAAATTTGACGACTCGGGTTTTTTTACAGCTTCGCGGGTGAGCAGTGAGAAGCACGACACGCGACGATATCGCCACGCGGAACGTGAAGGCGTCATCATGTCGAGCGACGTCGCACCTCGGCGTCGACGTTGTGTGCGGCTCTAGTACTACAGAGGTCCCTCCAGCGAGAGCCAAGTTGGCGCTGTAGCCCATCCTCCTGCGGCAGATAGACTACACTGGGCGTTCCATTCCAATATTGTCTGGTCGGGCAAAAACAAATTCTACAAGGCCTGGGGCGCAGAATAATTTGTTATTGTCGCGAGCGAGTCCTCAGTTGCACGATTTTTCGTTCCAGTTGCCCTAAAGTGTCGCTCCAAGTCTGGTCAGCTCCTGCTGTCGCAACGGCCTCACTCACTCTCATCCACACCCGAACCTGCACTCGGGAGTTGTAGCGTCCCGAATCAGGCTCGTTCGGGACCATGGAGCTTCACCTTGCCGCATAAATTCGGCCCCCCGCCGAGTCTCAGAATAGCTTCACTTAATCGTCTGCCTCCTCTGCGCATACCAATGCACTCTTCTCTTCGCGTAATCGCCAGGCTACCTCCCATTCCCCCGTCGCAATGGCGCAGCCTCGTCTCTTCCGCCTCCTGCTCGTGCTCGCGCTCGTGCTACTCCTCGCATCCCCGGGTGAGCTGCGCCTTCCCTTCCCGCCGCCGCCTCCCTTTGGTGCTTCCGTTATGTGCTTGTCCAAGGCCTAATGCGGCATTTCATCCCTTGTCAAGATTCTTTTTGGAAGCCAGTATGGCTCACCCCTTCACATTGCCCCTTTGTTGTTGTTCGACCACATCGGTCGCACCATTTGCCTCTATCCACTTAAGCCAGAGCTGGTCGAACTAACCTTGCCTTGATGTTTCTTTCCTTGCAGCATTCGCGGCTGGCAGAGCCAAAAAAGGCCGTGTGAAGATAGTGCAGAAGGACACGCTTTGCTCTACGCTGTTAAGGACTTACTACGGAGGCAGCAGCACTAAATTTGTGGAGTACAACGGTCGCCCTTGCAATGGCAGATGGCCGAGCACTATCATTGTGGTTCCGTGACATGTTGTTGCGGAGACAAGCAAGTAGGTCATGGGAGAGAACCAATGAACGCGAGTCTAGCTTGGAGCAGAGTGCTAGGGTTTGCATAGGGAGTCAGGGTTTGTGTAGGGAGTGGGCTGCCACCGAGTTGCTGTCTTGTTTGCCCTGCCCCTTCAGTTGATGAAGATGTTGTCATAAAGTCACCATCACTGGGAGAAGAGGGGATGTCCTCAGGAGTGTTAGGCTCCATATATCCACCTTCCCTAGGGAAAGCCTCCCTATTACCCTCCCTAGAGACAGAGGAGGTTCTACAGGGCTATCCCAGTGCCACGGCAGATGTGCCTTGCATGGAAGGTTATGTTGATGAATTGCCACAAACAAATGTGTCAAAATGTGATTCAATAGTGAACTGCCATGGATTGAGGATTCCTTGTTGTGCTGCAGGTATGGTACAGTATTCTGTGCATGTATGACATCAGTAAAATCTCCCATCTTCAGATTCCTAGATGAACTCCCAATCTGTCGCGCACGAATGTCTCCTACCGGTACTAGTGAACCTACCATATGATATGTACACACTTCATCTAGATTACACAAGCGCCGTCCCTTCACTTCCCATGACCAGCCACGCTCCCACTCGCCTTCCCACTCGTCCCCTCGCCAGCACTGGAGCTCTCATTCCCCTCCAAGCTGCCCACCGTGTCCCTCACAGCCGTTATCGCACTCACACTCCCCACCGACACCCCAGTTGCAGGGCTCCACCACTTCCCCTGCACCACCCCTCCCACTCCCCCCATGCCCGCTCCCACTCCTCTGGACTCACCCTCCTCCTCCCCTCCCATCTCCTTGCGGATCTTCTGAAGTTCTGAGAGCACTTTGGCCATGGACGGGCGCGAGGCGGCGGGCACGGCAGTGCATGCCATGGCCAGGGATATGAGGCGCTGCATGACGTCATCAGACACCATGCTGACGCCAGAGGCAGAAGGAGAGACCATGCGGGGATCTGTTATGGCGCTGATGTTGCCGCTGGAGAGCTCGGCTGCCGCCTGTAGGGGAAAGGGGGGGGAGGGGAGAGAAGAAGCATGAGGGCATGGGAAGATGTAAGAGGAGGGCGTGAGTGAGAAAGGGATGTTGGCACGGGCTCACCCACCGCACCAGAGACCAAGTGCTGACACGTTCGCTTGTTCATGGTCAAGGCAAGGCAAGTGCGAGTCACTCACCCAGTCTCGGATGTGCGAGTGCGAGTCATCCACGGACAGCATGGGCTCCCGGCCGGTCAGCAGCTCCAGCATCAGCACTCCGAAGCTGAGGGAGGAAACAAGGTTGTGGCAGTGAGGAGGGGTGTTTTTCAAGGATTCCAAAAAGCAAATATTCGCATTTCCCGGCCAGCAGCTCCAGCATCAGCACCCCGGCACTGAGGGAGGAAGGGGGGTGGTTGTGGGTGAGGGAGTAGTGGATGGAAGATGAGCAGTTTTAGAAGATCACCTGCAGCTGTTGAAGCTCCAGAGATGCCTGAGCTCGTATCTGGCACAGCGCACGAGGCAATGAGCACACACACTACCCTTTGCAAACACACAATCCGTCACCGACTGCACACCTGAACACATCGGCGGCAGCGGTGGCGAGGTGTGTCCGCTGGTACTTGGGGTCCACACAGGCTATGGCTCTAATGTACCGGGCAGTGCGCACCTGTACACGTCAGTGGCAGTTGTGGCGAGGTGCGTCTGGTGGTACTCGGGGTCCACATAGCCCGGTGTGCCCATCACCCGCGTGGGGTTCACAGTGGTCGCCTCCATCATCCTCATGAAGCCGAAGTCCGCCACCTTCGCCTGCAGGGGTGGTGGTAGAGTGAGAGGGAGGGCGAGCGGGTTGTGGTAAGGGTGTCCTATGCGGCAGAGTGGTGCCAGTGTGCCGGAACAGGCATACAAATCAGTTCAGTTTCTTTTCTCATCACTTGGCAAAACACACACTCCTACAACCTTCATGTTACTTCTTTGTTGGAAATCTACACTTGCGCAGCTGAATAGAGCTCGCAGCAGCCCAAACACGTCCAAACAACATTTGCACGTCTTTGACCTACAACGAGTCTCACCTGCATCTGTGCATCCAGCAGCACGTTGGCGGGCTTCACATCGCGGTGCACGATCCGACGGCTGTGGAGGTACCTCAGCCCGCCCGCCACGTCAATGAGCACTGCCATGCGCTGGCGAAAAGAGATGGCCTTGGCACCTGAAGCAAGGGGGAATGGGGGCATGGTGTGTGCGATGTTATCCAGTGGTGAGCACATCAACTAGCACTGCCAGGCGCTGGCGCAGCGAGACGGCCTTGGCACCTGGGAGATGCAGGAGGGGGGTTGTGAACGGATGGAGGCATGGTGCATTACAGAGATGCAGGAATGGGAAAGTGAACGGAGGGGGGTTGGGAACTCACAGCACTCACTTGCTCCCTCCCTCTCTCCTTCCCTCTCTTGCTCCCTCCCTCAACCCCTCCCCCCAATAGCTACTTCAGTTGCCTAGCTACTGGCAATCCTCCGCATGCCATTGGGCCTAGCCTCACCCCGCCTGGTCCAGTGTGAGACGTCCACGTTGGGGATGAACTGCGAGACGATGAGCCCCATGTTGATCACACTGCTCCCAATGTTAACTGGTCTACCCTCACCTGGCTTGGTCCAGTGCGAGAGGTCCCCGTTGGGCATGAACTGCGACACGATGATCTGCTCCATCTGCTTGCTGGCCTCGTTGTAGTCGATGCAGTACCCCAGCAGCGGCACCAGGCATGGGTGCTGCAGACGTGCCATGGCTGCCACCTGGGGGGGAGAGGGGGGGGGAATAAGGGGGATGGTTTAGAAAGGTAGATGGGGTTAAGCGAGAACGGTTGAAGTTGATGAGTAGCCAGCAGAGGCACCCGGCATGGGTGCTGCAGGCGCGCCATGCCTGCCACCTGGGGGGTTACGAGGATACAAGGTGGACAAGAGGGGAGGGGGATAGGGGGAGTGGGGGGGGGGGGGGGAGGAAGAGAAAGGAAAGAGGTGAGCAAAGGAGCAACATTTGTTGTCAATGCAGTACCCCAGCAGTGGCTGCAAATGCGCCATGGCTGCCAGCTGGGGGGAAGAAGAGAAATGGGAGAACACGAATCAAAGAGAGGGAGGTGAAGGGATTGGACTTGTATTCAATGAGGTAACCCAGCAGTGGCACCCGGCACGGGTGCTGCAGACGAGCCATGGCTGCCAGCTGGGGGGAGGAGAAGAGAGAGGAGGTAAAAGGGGAGTTGGGATTCAACAGAGGGTTAGACGAAGGAGGTGGAAGATAGATGGTGAAGAGCTCTTAATCTACACCGAATAGAGGACGGTTGTTCCACCTTTCACCTCATCTCTTCCTTTGACTTCACCTTCCCCTTTCGCCTCACCTCCTTCTGGTATCGAACCTCTTCAGATCCCCTCTTCTCTCTTTTCCCCTCACCTCCTTCTTGAAGTCGTTGCTGAGCATCGTCGCCCTCTTAACCGCCCAAATAACTGATGGGTTGTTTGGGTCCACGCCCTTGTACACGTCGCTGAAGCCGCCTGAGCCGATCAGGTTGACCTCTGAGAAGAAGTTGGTGGCCTGCTGTATCTCCTCCAGGGAGTACTGCTTGCACGCTGGAGAGGGGGTGGGGAGAGAGGGGGTGGGGGGTGTGGGTAGTGGGGAGAGATATATGGAGGCAGGGGGAGAAGGTGAGCCAATCAGGTTGACCCCTGAAAAGAAGGTTGGTGGCCTGCTGTACCTCCGCCAGGGAGCACTGCTTGCACTCTGGAGAGAGAGATTGGGGAGAGGGGATGGCTGCAGAGGGAGGAGGCAGACGGAGTGGACTTGTGACGACCGATTCGGTTGGCTTCAGTAGGCGTATGAGAGCTCGGCTAGTTGCTGCTGGGCCACCAGCATGTGCTGCTTCCAGGCCGTATGGAGAGGGATGGGGAGGCTGTGAAGGTCAAGTAACGAGGAAGGGAAATCATGGAGTGACATGTGTGAGAAGGGACGAGACATAAAAGCAAGCGGCACAGTCGCAAGCAAGGGAACGTGCCTGGTTTGGTTCGGCGGAAGCAGAGCCAGAGGAGGATAGCGAGGGCAATGAGGGCGACAAGTGCAGCGACCACAATGGCGGCTATGGCTCCCGGTGACAGGGCGCTGCTGGCAGTGGGAGAAGAGGCTGAGGGGCACAGAGAGAGGGGAGATAAAAAGCAAGGGAGAGAGGACGGAGGCAGTGATGAGAAGGGAGAGCAGCCCAAGGGCCGGAGGCATGAGAGGGGTGATGAGTGAGCAGAGCGGCGAGATGGGATCAACGGTGCAATAAGAGAATGAGAGGCTGAGGGTGCGGCAGCGAGCGCACCTGAGGAATCGTAGGTGCAGCCGATGCAGTAGCTCTGGCACACGTGGCAGGTAGTGTTGGGCACAGACGCATTAGCAGACCCGGGAGTGCTGGAGTCGGTGCCAGCTAGCGACGTGCTATTGGCCGGCGGTGGCGGCAAAGGGCTGGTGGTTGGTGCAGGGGCGGCAGGGCAGGTGGCATTGTCATTGCAGACGATGCTGGGGGTGCCGTACCTGAAAGGGGAGGGGGGGGGGGGAGGGGGGAGGGCATAAGGCATGGTACGGGTCATGGGGATGTGCGAGGATGGGGCAGCCGGCATTGCTGTTGCAGACGATGCTGGGGGTGCCGTACCTGATGCGTGAGGCGGGTTTGTGTGAGGCATTGTGGGGGAACGATTGATTGGGGACATGTGGAGCGGGTGTTGGGTGGGGGGGGTTTGTAAGAATGGAGACGTGTGAGGGTCTGGCGCGAATGAGTGGGATGTGATGGCATGAGGGGAGTGCGCCTTGGGGCAACAGGGCAGGTGTCACTGTTGCTCGCTGCAGTGGTTGCCAAAGGAGCCGCAACTGGAGTACCGGGTACCAGGCATCTTATGGCGCGCAGGATGGCTTGTCTCCCACAGTGCACCTCGTGCCAAGCAAGCTCTCTCTCAGTGAACCAAGGGCCAGGTACCACTGGCCAGGTACCACTGGCCAGGTACCACTGGCCAGGTGAGGAATTGCTTACAATGCTTGCAGCTGGCCGAGGCGATTGATGCCCCACGGCACAGAGCCAGCCACTCCAGTGTAGCTCAGATCCCTGCAGGGTTGCACACGGTGCACGGAGCAGGCAGGAGCAGTGAGGGATAAGCATGGATAAGTATGCATGCTAAGAGAGACGCCACGGGAAGAAGAGAAAGATTGAAAGGAAAAAAACGGAAAAAGGCGGAATGATCCAGGAGCTCCACAGTTAACACGAGAGGCACTTTTGGAAAAAGAAAATCTAAAAACAGCACATACACATAGCATGGAGCGCACTGGCCCATCTACATCAGCTGAATACGTCCCACGTGTATACACGAGGCAGCTGCTGCATGTCTAGTTGAATCTTGAGGAGCATCAGAAGGCATCGGACAAGTAGGTTCCCTGGGTATCCGCAACACAGGTGTTGTATGTCAAGTTGTGCAACATTGTGTGGCCGTGAGCCTATGGACTCGCTTTGTGGGGCTGCGAGCGAACTGTGTTGCCTGCTTACAGGAGCAGCAGGTTGGAGAGTGAAGTGAGCGAGTCAGGGATGGGTCCTGTGAGGCTTGAGCGACCGAGGTTCCTGCACAAGTGTTGCAAGGTGTCAGCGGGTGGCAGGGTGGTCAGCGCGCCAACATCTGCAGTGCATGGATGTTGAGATGACCAAGACTAGCAGTGCATGGATGGTGAGATGACCAAGACTAGCAGTGCATGGATGGTGAGATGACCAAGACTAGCAGTGCATGGATGGTGAGATGACCAAGACTAGCAGTTGGGGAGGTATCATCAAGCAAGCATGGCGAGTTGCACAACTTATTGCATGCCACCATGCGTGATTGGCAGGGAGCTCAATGTAGCCCAATACTGGCAGCATAGAGAAGAAAATGTAGCATCAACGTGCTAGGAGCAGCTATCAGAAGGGTCGTCATCAACAGGCACACTCCGAGCTGCCCCAACACAAAAGCAGACACACCGGGCCGAGACGTTTGAGTGAACACCAGGACGTGCCTGCAATAAGGGCCATCACGCTAATGAGGAGGGGGGCCATCGGGCCATGTATTCAAGGAGGGGGGTGATCCCATCCGGACTTACAGGGAGGTGAGTGCTTTGAGGCGGCCGATGCTGGAGGGGATGGAGTCTGAGATGCTGTTCCGACTCATGTCCCTGCCATGCGAGTCAGGGGGCGGCGCGGGGATGGCAGGAAGGCGGGGTGTGTCATGTGGGTGACATGCCAGGACGGACATTTGATGCAAATATGTGAGACATCAGCTCGGCTCGGATGGGTTCTTTACATCCCTTCCACAAAACAGATATTCACGTCGCTGAAACAAGATGGGCATGAGCATGCATGGCTCACAGGTCCACGAGCAGGCATGACTGCCACCCCTCCCTCATAAGCCAAAGAGAGCTCACAGGTGCACGAGCCTGCATCACTCACATGTGCATGAGCAGGCATCACTCACATGTGCACGAGCATGGTGAGACTGCTGACAGCAGATGGGATAGACCCGGACAGTTGGTTGCTGCTGACGTCACTGGGGAGAGGAAAGGTAGGGGAGAGACAGTGGGCATGAATTTGCTTTTGAGTCGACTCAAAAGCAGTGGGCATGAATTGAGGCGCATGGGGAGAGAAGCATGAGCAGACAGGGACACGTGCGAGATAGATGAATCCATCTGTATGGCTAGACAGGTTCGTGTAAGACGTTGGCGTGTGTGCACATCACGTCCAGATATGCATGCTTGCGTGCCCAATGCCCATACACTTGATAGATAATCAAGTATTTGAATCAAATCGCATAGACGACACTTACAGGCAAGTTAACCCCGCCAGGGCTCCCAGGGATGCAGATAGAGTGCCAGAGAGCGAGTTGCTGCTGAGATTGCTGGCCGGGGCAATGGGGAAAGGTAGACAGACATAAGGTTTGCAAGAGAGTGTTGCAGATGATTAACAAGAGGTGAAGTTCAAGAATGGTCATGCTGGTGACTCAGGCAGCTCGTTTTTTACAATAGGGGAAGCAGTTCCGTGAATAAACAGAACAAATGACAAATTCCCCTATTAGAGCAAGACTTCAACCATGAGTACAACACTTCACAGCCTTTGCAGCTGCGTGGCTCACTCACAGCCTCTGCAGCTGCGTGGCTCACTCAAAGCCTCTGCAGCTGCGTGGCTCACTCAAAGCCTCTGCAGCTGCGTGGCTCACTCAAAGCCTCTGCAGCTGCGTGGCTCACTCACAGCCTCTGCAGCTGCGTGGCTCACTCACAGCCTCTGCAGCGACGTGGCTCACTCACAGCCTCTGCAGCGGCGTGAGCACACTCAGGAAATCTGGAATGCTCTCACTGAGAGAGTTGCCACCCAGTTCCCTGCCAATGACAACGTGCCACGTGGAGTTCAGATGAGAGTGAGGCGAAGGCAGTGGAGAAAGCAGGACCTGGGAGGTGTGAAAACGAGGGGACATGTCGCATCAACATGTCGTGACAACATGCAAACAGGATAGGCAGAAACGAGGCCCAGCGTTCAGCTGACTCCACTTTGAGACGTCAGAAATGCGGGAAGAGAAGCATGGCATGGGAATTGAAGGCTGGTGAGGGCCTTCAGTTGAGAAGAGTCTAGATTCAAGGAGCCTCAACATTCGACCCGTATCACGAGGAAAGGCATCTCACAGGCATTGCAGGCCCGTGAGGGCCTCGAGGGCCGGTGGGATGGCTCCTGAGAACTGGTTGGCACTCATGTTGCTGCTTGGGGGAGGGATGGGGGGAGATGGAAGAGAGGTAAGTGGGGGATGCATGTGAGGGATGCATGTGAGGGATGTATGTGAGGGATGCATGTGAGGGATGCATGTGAGGGATGCATGTGAGGGATGCATGTGAGGGATGCATGTGAGGGATGCATGTGAGGGATGCATGTGAGGGATGCATGTGAGGGATGCATGTGAGGGATGCATGTGAGGGATGCATGTGAGGGATGCATGTGAGGGATGCATGTGAGGGATGCATGTGAGGGATGCATGTGAGGGATGCATGTGAGGGATGCATGTGAGGGATGCATGTGAGGGATGCATGTGAGGGATGCATGTGAGGGATGCATGTGAGGGATGCATGTGAGGGATGCATGTGAGGGATGCATGTGAGGGATGCATGTGAGGGATGCATGTGAGGGATGCATGTGAGGGATGCATGTGAGGGATGCATGTGAGGGATGCATGTGAGGGATGCATGTGAGGGATGCATGTGAGGGATGCATGTGAGGGATGCATGTGAGGGATGCATGTGAGGGATGCATGTGAGGGATGCATGTGAGGGATGCATGTGAGGGATGCATGTGAGGGATGCATGTGAGGGATGCATGTGAGGGATGCATGTGAGGGATGCATGTGAGGGATGCATGTGAGGGATGCATGTGAGGGATGCATGTGAGGGATGCATGTGAGGGATGCATGTGAGGGATGCATGTGAGGGATGCATGTGAGGGATGCATGTGAGGGATGCATGTGAGGGATGCATGTGAGGGATGCATGTGAGGGATGCATGTGAGGGATGGACGTGAGGGATGCATGTGAGGGATGCATGTGAGGGATGCATGTGAGGGATGCATGTGAGGGATGTATGTGAGGGATGGATGTGAGGGATGCATGTGAGGGATGCATGTGAGGGATGCATGTGAGATTCGTTTTGTGACAAGGTACATGAGGAGATTTGCTTGGACGTGGGGACGGAAGTATTTAAGTAGGCCTGGACCAGGTCCTGCGACCTGACTGAAGCTCAACACGGGGATGGGGTCACGTCTACTTTAGATTCCGATCTAGCTGTTTCAGATGGTGACGTAACTTGAAATTCTGCACATGGTACTAATGCCTGCAGACACGAGGGCACGTACAGGGATGTAAGGGCCAAGAGATTGCTGAGTGCTGAAGGCAAGGGGCCAGAGAGCATGTTGCTGCTGATATTCCTGCAGGCAGGAGAAAGGAAGAATGACACTCGAAGAGAGGGAGGAACTGACCAAATCAATGGAAGGGTGAGATTGTCGCCATTGACTTGACCTGGTATAAAAAAAAAAAAAAAAGGGGACACGTCGATGTTGTAATGCAGAGCACACTGTGACGTGAGTGTCGGAAGAGCACTAGCAGCAAAGGTTGGCTTACGTGCCCTTGGAGATTGTGGGAATCAGTTCATGCAACTTCTCACTCTACCGGATTCCGCACGTATCACCTTTGCAACCCCATGCTGCAAGGCCTTTTGCATGCGGTGCTGCATGAGCTGTTCTTAATCTGGGTAGGTGCAGAACGGTAAACAACAGTCTACGAGCTTGAACGAGAGTGCTCTTACAGCGAGGCAAGGCTGCTGAACTGCGCCAAGTTCGGCGGCAGGCCTCCTGTGAAGCCGTTGCTGCTGAGGTCGCTGGTCGTTGCCAAAAAGGGCACAGGGAGTGAATTTTGAGTCGACTCAAAAGGGCACAGGGAGTGAATTTTGAGCCGACTCAAAAGGGCACAGGGAGTAAGGAGGACGAGAGGTGAGAGCATGCAGCGCATGGCAGCCACGGGGGGGACGTTTGAGTCGACAAACAAAAGGCATGTCGTATGGCAGTCGTGGAGAAGGAAGGTCGTTGAGAGGAGGAAAGAAGTAAAGGAGTAAGATACAGATAGAGTAAGATACAGTTAGAGTATGATACAGCTAGAGTAAGATACAGTTAGAGGAGGGATTGCACAGAGGAAACAAAGTTGTGGCATGTGTTTGTTGCAACGTACAGTGTTGACACATTGTATGGGAGACTGGGCAACGATCCTTCAAACCTATTGCTGTGCAAGTACCTGCGGTCATTCCCAGGCGACATGCCATAGCGCAACATCACACACCATGCCATGCCATGCCACACCATGCCACACCATGCCGTATCACTCCATAGAATGCCATTCCATTCCGTTCAATTCCATGCCATGCCATGGCACACAATAGAAAGCAGAAAAAATAGAAGCATGCAGGAAGGCTTGGAGAAATGACATCCAGTGAAGGCCGCAGGCGTGCCTCTTCCAGATAGAGCCTTCTCATCCGCACAGAGAAAGAAAAGAGGAAAGGAAGACTGGAAGGGAAGAAGAAAAGGAGATGCATGCAGGTAACGGTGGGTACGATGTAAGGATGAGCAGGGTGCCCGCAGGATGGGCTGGCCCGTGCCTGGCCCGGATTTTGCCGGTCTCAGGCCGTCCATCCCTGAAACTCGGCGGACCATAGCTGGCCCGGCCCACCCCCGGCCCGGTTTTTGCCCCTGGCCCGGCCCGACCCCTAAACCCGGGCTCGGGCCGGTAAATTCTGGAATCCAGCCCGACCTTAGCCCGGCACGGCCCATGCCCAGCCGGGCCTACTAGAAGCAGGCCCAGCCGGCCCAGGCCGGGACGGGCCTATGCTCATGCCTAGTACGATGCCAGGAGGGCACTGACATGAGGGTGAGGGCGCTGACATGAGGGTGAGGGCACTGACATGAGGGTGAGGGCACTGACATGAGGGTGAGGGCACTGACATGATGGTGAGGGCACTGACATGATGGTGAGGGCACTGACATGAGGGTGAGGGCACTGACATGAGGGTGAGGGCACTGACATGATGGTGAGGGCACTGACATGATGGTGAGGGCACTGACATGATGGTGAGGGAGCTGAGTGAGCTGATGGCAGCAGGAAGGGAGCCAGAGAGCGAGTTGTTGCTCAGATCCCTGCAAGTTAACAGAGTGGTTGAGAGAGGTGAAATAGAGTGGTGATGATGGAAAAGTTAACATTCTGATTCCGACAAATCAGTGCTGCAGAGGAAATCGAGATCCTCAGAATGTTTCCCATACCGAGCAAGTTATGGCGCCAGGTTCGTTTCACCAGGTGATGCTGGTGCTAAACGGCTTGGCCTGGCAGCTTGTATCTGCCCCTGGCTCCAGGCGGGTGAGGACTCACAGGAAGGTAAGGCTGGCAAGGCTGGAGAG